TCATTTTCAATTGAGCCGAGACTCTGAAGAAATACAGAAATATATATTTAAGCTGCTGAGTTCTATGCAAAAATCGATTAGTTTCGCTTAGCATGTCTTGGCTTAACAAATTTGTTCTGCTTGCATTCATAATGTATTTATGAGTAAGTGTGTGTGAGTGTGTTGTGTGTGAGGTCATATTCCCATCGACGTCTAGTCGCCAAGTTGAATCTGTTTGATGCTATCTTTAGCTAGCTGTAGTGGGGGAATTTCGACTTAACTCTTTCTTCTTTTTGTTTCCTTGAGCATTTTCATTGGGGCTGTTGGACTTGTTAGCAAATCGCCGCACGTTTTGTTGCCAGTACATTTACAGTTATGTGCACACACACACATACACACGCACACACACACACACACACGCATGGTTACAAGGATATCATATAAAGATGTAGATGTGCGTGCGCCTCTTGCCAAATTGTCGATTTTATTATTTGTGTTTATATGATTTTTCAGCTGTTCTGCATTTTAAAGTGCCTGCCAGCAGCCGTGAGAGAGCGAGCGAGATGGCGATAGACTGGGCGGCGTAGCCATGGCCAACAGCGGGGATGGGGGCGTGCTTATAGCATGCGCTGCGTGTCTTCTGCCTCATTTCTTATTATAATGTGAAAAATATCCTTTTACAAATTCAAAACGTTGAAGTGTGCGATTTCTTTTGTTGCCGCTTTTAACTGTGTGTGTGTGTGTGTGAGTGTGTGTGTGTGCATGATACCCGCGTGTATTTATGCCTGGACAGTTGCAAAAGAGAAGCACGTTCTCAGCAGTGCACGAGCACGGAGCGGCTGTCCTACTTGCGGAGCTGATAATTCGAAATATTTATCATTTCGTATTGAAATATTTTGCGCATCATTTTGCTGTAATTTTCTACATGCTGCATTAGTGGCAGATGGCCATGCAATGCCTCAGATGAGTCTCGTCCACACAATCGATCTGCCAACTCATTGTTGTCGATTGCAGCTGTAACAATATCTCGGAGCACGTTCACGCCAGGAGCAGATCCAGCTTGAATAGTCACAAATAAGGCAAATGAAATGACTTGTCATGTGCCTAAGCGCCAAAGGGCTAAACATTGAATAACAAAAGGAATTCAATTTTCTAAAGCGAATTTTTTTTATTTAATTTATAAATATTTGATCAAAGCCCATTCATTTCCTTTGTATACAATTTTTTTTTTATCACAGATATATTCAAATATATTCAGGCCAACATATACTCCATCAAGGATACACACATACAAATATGCATACATATATACAAATATGTATTCAAATGTCGTGGACGAGCTTTAATTGCATTGCATTGCAAACAAAATTTCTATTTGCGTTAACTTTTCAAATTTTGCAAAATTCATTTCGATTGCTTATTTTGCTGAAAATGAAAAACAAAAAACCCAAATACAACAAAAAATAGCAGAAAAACAGAAAATAGTTCAACTTTAGAAATGGCAAACGGCAATGAGAACTGGACGTGAGCTGCACTTGCTTTTATTAGTTTAGTTTTTGAAATTAAACGTATTTGCATGTCATATGCAATTTAGCACATTTGCGAGTGTGTATGACAAATTCTTTTTTATATATTACTCGCATATACCCTGTACACCACCACGCACAATCGAGGTCAGATTTTTGGCCAGTTGGCAGACCTTGAGGAGCATTCAATGCAAATGACAAATTGATTTATTAAGCTCTTTAATTGAATTTAAAAAATATATGCATATATATTCTAATTCAATTTTCTTATATGAATAACTTTTATTCACGTTAATTTAGATATTTAAGTAGATGTATATATGTATATAGAAGGAGATAGATAGATATTTTAGTAAATGTAACTTATACATGATGTGCATATAAATAAAGTTTTTAAATATCAGTAAAAGCAAATTATAAAATTTCATAATGACCAAAAATATATTATAGTTATTATAATAATTATAATTATAAACAAAATAAATATGTATAAGAAGCTAAAAATTGTATTAAATAATCTAACTTTAATAAAAAACTTTTCATAACATTAAAATATTTAAAATAAATAATCCTTATATATATATATATATCTTTTTTTTTTTTTTTAACTTAAATTTTATCACATTGCAAAACCCACGGTTTAAATAATTAAATTCAAATAAAATTAGCAAAATGATAAATATCTCGATTGAATAGCCATAGTTAGCCTCTGTAAAAAAAAAAAAAAAAAAAACAAATTTGTTGCAATAACTTTATATTTATATATTAAATAAATTAAAAAAAATTAAATCTAATCAATAGAAATAAAGCATGGAAACAAAAAAATAAATAAAAATAATTTACAAGTTATTTTGAAGCATATGCTAATAATATATTATATATAATATTATTATAACAAATAATAATATAAGTTTAGTAAAACATTTCTTAAAAAGGTCGTATGTTGGATAACTAATTCAATCGTAATAATTTAGATATTATAGCAGTTATTAGTTGTATTTTATATTAGGCTTTATTATATGAGCCATTTCTTAGACTCTGACAATTTACATAAAATATAGCTCATATGGATCATACGAATATCTGCCAAGTAACATATACTCTTTTCAATATTTGATGCACTTGTTAAAATAAATAGCTTTAGACGACCTCTAGCCAAATTAAGGAGTTCATATATCAGGATATAAATACTATGATGCCTATAGCCTATTGGCTAGATCTGTTCATACATATATACTATATAAATTCCCTTCATCAGAGTATATATCTTCAAGGGTATTTCATTTGCGGCGTGGCTTAGACTTTTTGCTGCTTTTTGCATTTTAAAGTGTGAAATTTAATTGCTTTTTGGGGTTTTGTTTTTTTTTTTTTTTTTTTTTTTTTTTTTTTTTTTCTTATTATGTTGGCTTGGCGAATTTTCCGTTGGCGAATGTGTCAAAAATGTTTGTCGTCTACAAATTTGAAAATTGCATTCGAGCAGCAACAACAACAACAACTGTAATAGTAACAGTAGCAAGAGCAGAGCCAACAAAAATATAAAGGAAAATCGAGTACGAAATAAAATTCACGCAATGCAGCAAAAGATTTATACGCGTATGTTTGTGTGCGGGTGTGTTTGTATGTTGTGCATGTGTGCATGTGTGTGTGTGTGTGTGTGCTTAGCTACAATATTTTGCTTTTAAGCTTGGGATTCTAGAGTTTTATTGTCTTTCCGTGCATGCAGATGCACACACACACACACATAGTCAGTGCAGAGTCAGTTCACCCCCGCACATACACACACACCCACCCATTAACAGCTAGGCAAGCAGCTGGCTACCCGATTGGCCCGAGTGTCCCGAGTGTCAACGGAAGCCGTCGCCATGTCGGTTAGTTGGCTGCCATCGAAATTCCGGATTTAACAGCAAAGTAACCAAAATGCAATTGTTTTGCAATTGGCATTTTGACCACATTCTGACACCCTGGCCATATGGCCGGCGAGTGTCAACAGCGGCGGCTGCAAATTGCCAAAAAACTATATGCGTGTGTGTGTGTGTATTGCAGCCATGCACAATGCACACTTATGCATGTATGTCTGTGTATATGAGCCAAACGTACGTATACGTAATTTATTTAGCATTTCAAATGATTTCACTAGTCCCAGCTATACTACAAAAAGTATTAGGCCAGAGAAAATGTGGGAGGTAGAGAGAGAGGGGCTAGCACTCTGTCGATATATGCTGAAATGTGCTTAATTGAAAATGAATTTGGTTTTTGCAAAAATTGTTGTTGTTCTTGCTGTTGCTATAGCCAGTTGGTATTTTTTTTTTTTTTTTTTCGTTTTCTTTTTCGGATTACTAATTCGGAATGTTTTGCGTTTTATCTGCATTTGACGCCAAGCTGGAAACCAAAGCAATGTTATCGCTATGTGGGCAGTGGGCAGTGGGCGTGGTCCGATCTGGCCGGGCAGCTCCCTACACATTTGCATATTTGCATTTGCCATGGCCTGCAGCGCAGACAGGCCATGGGCTCTGTGTGTTATGCTACACCACAGCTGCGTTGTTGTTTACTTAGTGTCGCTGAATCTGGACAGTACGGCATAGATTGGGGCTAAGGTGAATGAGAGGCATGCAGACACACACACACACACACACACACACATAGTCAAATAAAAATACACATATTTGAATTCGACAACGTACGAATTGCCTTTGGTACAGCATCATCTACCGTCTCCTGCTACAGCTCCTGCCACAGCTCCAACTCCGGCTGTGTCCGGTCTATGGCTCTGTATTTGATGAGCGTACCAGCACAATGCAATTGGCTCTGCATCTGCAGCTGTATCTATAACTGTAACTGCAGATGCAGCTGCAGCTACAGTTGCCCGTGTATCCGTATCTCAATCTGAGTATGCATTTATTTCAAATGGAACAGTTAGATGGACACGGCTGTTGGCTTGAAACTGGGCCTCAATTTGCCGTCATGCATGCAAATTGCACTAATGAGCGTCACAAATTTTGCATAGACAAATGCCTAAACACATATGTACATACATATAGATATATACATATATACACACATGTATTGATGGCAGCCTTGAATTAAAGCTCCCTCTTAGCTGAATGGGACTCTGAATGTGTTGTCTGTGGTGTCAGAGGAGCCGCAAAAACCACACGCCAAACCTCCTGGCGAGAGCAAAGTTTTCACGCACGGTCACGTCTTTTACGTAACTGTGGCGGTTCTTTTTTTGTCACTGCTGCTGCTGCAGCTGCTACGGCTGCAGCTCCTAGTGCAGTTGCCATTTTTGCTCATTAAAGTAAATGCAGTTAATTAGAGCACAAAAACCATTTGCGCTGCCCAAAAA